AAAAAAAAGAATAAAAAAAAGATAATAAAAAAGATATAAAAAAAAGATATAAAAAAAAGATATAAAAAAAAGATATAAAAAAAAGATATAAAAAAAGATATAAAAAAAAGATATAAAAAAAGATAAAAAGAAGGAAGACGGAAGAACGAAACATACCTTCCCTCCCAACCCCCCGCCGACTACCCATCACCAGCGTCGCCCCCGTCGCAAACTGCGCCGCGTACAGTTCGTGCGCGTCCGGCGTGTCGCTGATGCGGTAGAAGTCTGCCAGGAAGGCTTCGATGCCGTCGTCGATCGGGATGCTCCCGCCTGCCACTGATGGGGGAAACTCGGGCACGTAGGTGTGGACGGCCATGATGTTATTTCTTGTAACTTTACTTTTGGGGGCTGATTGTAGGTAAGCTAAGGTAGGTAGATGAGAGAGATGGATCGATTGTAAAAAGAAGGGTCGGAAAATGAGGACTTGAGTTGGGAAGATGTGATATGTATATATACATATATGTATATATATATGTGTGTGTATGTATGTGACCGTGCTAGTGTGGAGGGGAGGTACTTACTTACTGGGGTCAAGCCGGGTTCACATCCGATGGCTCGGTTAAGAGCTTACCAACAACGGCTCTCACGGCCCAGTAGATCAGGGAATGACGACAGAAGATGATGACATTCCTAGCTCTCTCGTTTCAAATTCCCGGACGGATGCCTATCATGTAGAATCCGGGGTTGCTGTCGGATGTTGTGCCACTGACCAATCGGTGTGGCAAATTTCACAGTGATTCTGGGTGCGGATGACTTGGTGAAATGCCAGCAACTCGAGGAGATCTGGATCATGGTTAGCTCGGGCCATCATCCAGCGCCGCGAGTGAGATCAGCGATCTCAACTGACCGTCACGGAGAAAGAGACTTTAAATTTCTCTCTACCAGACACGAACTTTCCTCCCTGAATAGAGACCCCACTGCATTCGATGTGGATTTCGACAAAATATGGGCCAGACCATTTCCCCCCAAAAAGGCACCCCTCTCGTCCGTTCTAGAGAAGACAGAATATCTGTGTAATGTCTTTCTGGGACAGTTTGATGCCTTAGTTGAGTTGGTTCCAATATAGGACAGTTGACCTTCAGGATATCCAGCGTGGCAGCGAGAACAAGCACGAAAGCCATCCCGGAGAAGGGTTGTGATATCCGAGAAGAGGCTTGATCAATCAGGCTCAAAATACCCGGTTGTGTTAACGATCTGTTCCCGAAAGCACCACACTCGATTAGCCAGGCACGAAGGTAGTGCTACAAAGTAATCAGCAAGTATTCCTACGCCCCATGGGACACTCAAGGATACCTACGTAGACATCTCTGGTCGCGTCAAACCCCAGCCTCTCGTACAGCAGCTGGTTCTGATTTCTCACATTCTCAGCCGACGCGAGCACCCGGAGGGTTTCACTGCCAGGGATAAATAGCCCTTTTCCGGTGCCTCGAGAGGATCCGGATAGCTGTATATCGCGGTCAGATGCGATGGCTGAGCTGCTCTGCCCAATGGTAAGTCAGGAAGAATCTGTATCTACTTGGATGCCGTCCGTATACTGGAAGCCAACCCTTCCCGAGTCGCTGGCGATCTACCAAATGAGAACCTGAAGCGATGTATTTGAGCGCGATGTCACTGAACCCCGGATACCAGGATAGCATTCTCCGAATCTCCCTTCATGGCGTCCACCTTCTACTAGAAGACCTCCTCAAATGTACTTGGTGACATGGTTCCGAAAGCATGACAGACCAATTCTTCGATCCTGCCGATGAAGGGACCCTCACGGATCACTCTGACCACCGGGCTTGCTGCTGCTCTGGCGGCGGCGGCGGCACTAGCACCGAGACGGGTTGTCATGGAGGGAGAGGCTTTCGAGAATTTCAAGTTCAGCCTTCCCGTCAATATCTGGTGCGGTACTCGGGGCTTTGGCGCCGGCTGGCTCGAGAAGGATTTTGAGCCTTTTCGAATTGACGCCAGGGACCGTGGAGCCAGTCGTTGGTGGGCGTATTGTAATTAATTCTCTCGGAAGAATGCCTGTAGCTCGGGGTTATTGCTCCAGGATCCTATGGTGGCCGTCATGGTTAACATGGTGAAAGTCACTGCAGATGGTATGCATGTATGATGGTGGGAATTCTACGTTGGAGTTGGGGTGGGGGAGGGGGATGGAGAGTGTGATGGATGTGATTGATGGCAGGAAGTCTGGTCGATTCTCCAAGGGGATGAGGAAAGCGCGATGAAGTGTGGGTGTGTGGGAAGATTGGAAGATTGGCAGATGCCCATTACGAAATCCTGCGTCGACTGAAAGAGTCGAACATATTATCGGTATGTATATACAGTGTTCTGACATTGAGTCTGTTGTTGTCCGCGACGGACGGCCCAGCCAGCTGGGACTCTGGGACTCTGGGAGTCCGGGACTCCCCATCCATCCTCCGGTCAACCTTTTCCAAGCATCGAAGCTCAACCAAGCCGCCTTCATCACGGTACGGTACTACTCTACCGAGCACTTCCACTTGTTGTACCTACTGTACTGGGGGATGCACGATCCAGCGGACGACAGTAGGGGCAAGGTCATGCATTCTTGGCACAGGATTCGCGCACTGGGCGCGTACTTGGGTATGAGGGTTATACGGGTTATACGGGTTAGGTGGGTTAGAAGGGTTAGAAGGGTTAGGAGGGTTAGG